AACTTTATTGTCCAGCTGCTGTGGATGAACACATGAGAGGAAGTGAACTCCTAAAATGATCTGCAGACAGCAGTGAGAGTGATGAGGAGAGAATAGAGATACCAGTAACAACACATAAGACAAAACACAAACTGCAGGAGACAAAAAGAAAGACATGCACCGGTGACTGCGGTCTGTGTGTTGAGGCCTGGAGAAAATTAGGCTTAAGCTGAAATTGGGGAACTCGGCTATCTATACTCCAAAAGCCAGGGAGGTTGTTTGCAGGGGAGTTACTAAATTTTTAAAACCCAACTTGGAAATTATCACATTTTTACTTGATAGCAGCAGTTGTTAAAATTATTGGTCATATTTTGTGGCAGGATGCCTAAATAACATTAAATGTTTAAATGTGTCCATTTTAAAGTTTGAGAGCTCTACTGGACAGCTGTGAGGTTACAAATGAAGAGCGTGTTATGTGCAACAATGTAGCAATTTTACTGTTACACTTTGATTCTCTTTACAGACTTGTCATCTGCATTGTATCACCGTCTGATAAGGTCGCTTATTAGAGTATTGTGCACTCATAGGGGTCATTTTGATGCCCGACATGCCTGTTTTTGTGAGCATGTACAGAGCTAGGAGTAAAAGCCCAGCTTAACAGAGGAAGCTGATATTCACTGTTTCTATGTAGCTAGCTACACAAATCTGGTTAATGTGTGCAAACATTCTGTCTTTTAGGCTATATCAGAATCAGAAAGACTTTATTTATCCCCAAGGAGCAATTAATAAAGCCTCACATAGAAGCTGCAACTCCACTGAGCATGTGCATGTGTTTGTGCATGTCCGCCAGACTCAGGGAGATGCACCAATGTGCTATGGCAGGGGTGAGATGGGACAGAAGACACACCGAGTTTAATAATAACAAACAACGCAGCAGTGACACATTAACACATGTGGATTAAAAAAAGAGGTGTGTGAAGGCGTGCTCATTGCATCATGGGAAGGCCTTAGCAGCATGAGCCTGTTGCAGCATAACTAATGAAGCATTCAGGGTCACTTGATCCAACATTAACTATAAGTTTTATTAAACAGGAGAATTTTAAGTAAGTTTTTTGTTATTCGAGTTTTTATTCGAGAAATACAGGCATGAATGCACTTTTGGTTCATCATTTCATCATTTTAAAGTAACAAAACCGAGAAGGAAAGAAAAATGTCTGGGCCTTGTCGTACAATGGGTACACTAAAGTTTGACTTTGCAAAAAACTGTGTTTCAGGCTAAAAAGTTCTGTGGTTCAAAACACCTATGAAAAGCACTTTTTTATACTTGTGTTAGGTTTTGTATAGAAATGACACAAAATTCAATCTCGGGCTAAATGTGATGTAAAAAGTTTACACTGACATCCATCTTGATCAAAGATGAGTGTTGTGAAGCTTATCTCGAAAGTAGAATCTGTCTACCAAATCCAAACTGGAAGCTAGTTCTGCAGCAGAGAGGGGCAACAGGAGGTTGAAAGCTGAAGTCTCTGCCTCCCATTCTACTTTCAAATATCATAAGAACGGCAAGTAAACCTGCAGTCTGATAGCAAAGTGGTCTGCAGTGGAAACATGGTATTTTGAGGTCATTAAGATGGGGCCGGATTATTCAAGACCTTGTATGTGAGGAGGAAGATTTAAAATTCACTTCTTGATTTAACAGAGAGTCAATGAAGGGACGCCAGTGTAGTATTCTCTCTCTTTGTAGTCCCTCTCAGTAGTCTCGTTGTCTAATAAAAATCTGTTCTTTGTCCCAGCTGATCAGCAGGAGGAGAAGAGTCTGACGGAGCAGCAGAGAAAGATTTTCAGCTATTTGGTCTCAGCTGACTCACTACAAAGGAAACAATGAGTTTCACAGAAAAGGTGAGAAAAATATCAGTTTCTCTGTTGGTGAATCTGGGTGCACTTCATCGGCTCCCAAATCTAAACTGGGAGCTGGTTCCACATCGGCTGCTGTGTGTTAGCCCCAGGCTACACATTCATACCTATACAAACAAGAATCAAGTTAATAGATGAAATAAGAAGATCACACATTAACAGGACACTAAAATAGCAGATTAAGAAAATTGAAATTCATATTAAACCCCCAAATTTTAAATGTAATAATTTCCCATTTAAACATAATCTGATCTACAAACATCTCAGAGTGACAGCCCTGGTCTTTATGAGAAATATTGTGAAGTCTTTAAAGCTCCCATTTCGATAATATCATAGGATTAAAACAGTGGAGTGCCACCCAACAGCTCTCAGCTGATCAGCAGTGAAATATGATTAGAAGTAGAGAAAATAAACAGGATAGTAGCTGGATACGTTTTCATGGTCCAGTATTGTTCTGATTTTCTTTTTCCCCTCCCTCTGGCAGTCAGGTAATTTTCTGGGTATTGAGATTGAGTTTGTAGCATCGTGATAATCCTGCTTTAATCAGCTTCACTCTACTAATTACTGCTTGTTCTGGGTGGGGATGAGAAACATAAGAGAGATGATATTTACCACTTTTAGTTGCTTCTTTGTCATAAGGGGTCTGGTATAGTTTTAATTAATATCTCAATCTAAACACTAGGTATAGCCATTTACAGATATTCTAATGGTTAAGTTATGGAAAAATGAATAATTGATAGTAAAGTATGCTCCTGTCACCAGAAGGTTGGGGTAATCCACAAGGTATTTGGCAACTGCCATGATTCAACATCAGGTTTAAAGCTCGTGTTAATGGAGGAAGTTTGAAGGTTGAGTTTGTTCCACGACTGCATTTCACTCACTGCCTCTGTTTGTATCTCTGTCACTGCAGGACCAACATGGAGCGAGAAGTCGGCGCTCTCAGGAGGCCGACAAACCTCAACGAAGAAAGGGAGAGAAAACATACACCTGTGACGATTGTGGGAAAGGTTTTACCTGGAAGGTCTCATTAAAAAAACATCAAGTCATTCACACTGGAGAGAGACCGTTTAGCTGTGACTTGTGTGGAAAGTCTTTTAGACAGCCTGGAAGTTTAAAAAGACACCAGCTCATTCATAGTGGAGTTAAAGAACATACTTGCAATCAGTGTGGGAAGTGTTTCTCTCGGAAAGAAGGGTTGGAAGAGCACAAACGTATCCACAGTGGCGTTAAACAGTACAGCTGTGATCAGTGTGGTAAAGTCTTTGCTCACCGTAGCGGCTTATGGACTCATCAAGTTGCCCACTCTGGAATTAAGGCATACAGCTGTGAGGTTTGTGGAAAAACCTTCAGCCAAGTAGGGCACCGAAATGCACACCTACGCATTCACACCAAAGAGGATGTTTACTACTGTGAACAGTGTGGAAAAGTGTTTATGACAAACAGAGACTTAAAAATCCACAAATTCACTCACACTGGAGAGAGACCTTATAAATGTGACGTGTGCGATAAGGCTTTTAAAGATCCAAGTTCCCTCAAAGCGCACCAACAGATCCACACCAGGAAGAAACTCTACAAGTGCAGTTACTGCGAGGTATGTGTTTACATTTTTATCTTGTAGTTTTAGTGTTTGAACAACTCTGCTTATTAAATTTGTTACAATATTAGCAACTATGCTGTATGTACAGGAGATTCATCACATTTCAATATCATTTTTTGTTTTGTTTCTTTCATGATTAGGTCAAAAAAATAAACCTTTATGTAACTGTATTATCTAATGGCACTTTCATGGTATTAAAAGATTATTTCTGTGAAAATGTGGCTGTATGTGAGTTTAGAGTTACTCATTTTCTGTCTGGTCTACATAGAATAAAAAGAATTGTAGTGTCATTATAAAGATATAAGACTTAAAAAACAACCACAACTAAAAAGTCTACTCTCAAGTAGGCTGTTTGGCTGTGATGCCACTGCTGGTTGTTAACATTAATGTTTTCATAACACTTCCATTACAGCTGGTAAGTGGGCCTTAGAAACTGTCCACACCTAAACTTTTGAGGCACAAATTCTTCTGTCTCCGTTCAAAACACATTTTAGTTATCTTTGACGCACCTGAGGGATTTACTATGAGGGAATTTCAACCACTGTCAGAGATCAAGTTTTCCGCTTCAGCTTCTGTACGAGGTCATATAAAAAATGTCAATCATAAAAAGATCCCCATGAGTGCCACCTAATCTAATCGAAGACATTGTCCAATGATGATAAAGTGGTGAAATATAAAGAAAATAAAAGTGTAACACTAAATTGCTACATAATTGTAAAAATATTAGATTAATATTGCAAAGAAACCTTAAGTTTGTTATTTCAAGTGACAATTTTAGAGTAATGGTGCATTCACTGGTCGTGTGCACATTCGCACCTCGAAGCACGTCCAAAGCGAACCGGTCAGGCTTTAAAATATGCAATTTTCACGCCCGTGAAACGGAAATGTGGGAGGAAGTAGTGCCAGACGGTATGTTTGCAAGATGGCAGCTGTCGATCTAGCGTTTGAGAGAGAGGGTCTCCCTTCTCTATTCACTGTGGAGAGCAGAGCAGCGGCGTAAAGGACGCTTTACACATTAGTCATTACAAAAATTTATTTGAGACAATATTAAGATGCTCAAACTGAAAAACATTAAACATGAATATATAAAATATAACTATTTACAGAGAGACAGGAATAAAAAAGGCCCAGCTTAAAGTGGAAGAGCCTCAGGGAGAAGGAGGAGAAAAATAAGAACATTGTTTCTGCCCTGGAGGCTCCTGATTGGTTATCGCGGCGCGACTTGACGCTGGAGTTCAGATTTTTCCAACTCAAGCGGTAGACGCAATAAGCGGGAATGCACAAAATGCACCACACAAACTGCAGTGCATATTTTACTTTGCGCTTCAAACGCATCAGTCAGGCTACTTGTTTGCGCGAATCAGGCAGAAAAGTGTTTTTTGCGACGCAAATCTGCTTCTGAAGTTTCACGTGACCCCCAGTCGCGCTTCATCACGCTCCTCCATTGACTTTACATGTTAACCTGAAGCTCTGGTCGCTTCTAATGTGTTCGGTGTGAACGCAGTAGTTGAAAGTACATGAGTGTTATTGTTGTATTCTTTTTGGTATACCTACAATAACTATATTTTACTTTTTAGTTATCACTGACATAGTAAAATGTAACTGGACATTGGCAGAGATTCTCTTAATTTCAGGCAACCTTCAGGAAAAAGATTTTGAAGAAATTCTCTGACTCTGACTGTGTTTGTGTCTTTGTTTAGAAGCAGAGCGACACAGATGGATCCAGTTCTCAACCCTGTCATCACTGTGGTGGTGGGAAAGCGTTTCATTGTGACATTTGTGGAAAAACTTTCAATTGGCAAAGGAGCCCAAAAATACATCTACGTAGACACACTGGACACAAACTCAAGTACTGCAAAGAATGTGGGAAAGGCTTCCCCACAGCAGGCGAATTAAAGCGCCATGAACTTATTCACAGTGGCATTAAAATGAACCTCTGTGACCAGTGTGGGTCATCCTTTACCACTGCAGGTGAGCTTAAAGCTCATAAACGAGTCCACACAGGAGAGAAACCATACAAGTGCAGACACTGTGACAGAAGCTTCTCTCGTGCAAATACTCGTAATGATCATGAACGTACACACATTGAAGGAAACTTCAGCTGTGACCAGTGTGACAAGAGCTTCAAGAATCTCAGTTCATACTCCAAACACAAACGATCGCACGCTGCAAATAAGCTATTTCAGTGTGACCAATGTGCAAAACCGTTCACTTCATTATCTGCTCTGACCAAACATTTGCATGATCATGCAGGACTAAAATCTTTGCTGCCATTGGATCACAACAAATCTGAACAGACAGAAAGAACCTCTTCCTGATCAGGCTCCACATAGTTCTGACTGTTTACCCCTGTAAAGAGTCAGCTAATGTCACACCTGGTTCTTATGACATAGCTATGACCTTTGGACTGGCAGTGATACACTTTGTATTTAATAAGTGGCAACCATTAAAAACTACAGACATTCACCACCAACAGGAGGTGCCATATGGGTTTAGTGCTATTTGGACCAGGTGGTAGTCAGAGGCCCTCGTGTTCTGAGCTGTGGCATACATGACTAACCATGGGACCAGTATAATTTTAAATTTGAACTAGACCTGGGCTGTACTTCTGTGTAATACTTATTTACAGTGGCGGCCCGCAGAAGTAAAAGCCTTTGTCCCAGCAATCAGTTTACTCCCTTTGAGCAAGAGCTTTGGCCACAGTGGGAAGGAAAAAGTCCCTTTTATGAAGGGAGCTGGGATGAAGAAGAGACATAAACATGTTGTGGAAGAGAACCAAAGATTAATGAAAGTTTTTCATTTTAAGATGGATGAGTTGCTCAGTGGAAACCAAATGTACCTACAAATAATCGAATCTAACCTGAAGCCATTCGATATTTTATTTTGATAAATATGGCAGCACTGAGACTAATTTCCTGACTCATTTTTTTTCTTTTTCAGTTAATTCAAATCATTTAATCTTTTAGTTTTGGTTTCTAATTTAGGCTCAGTTCGTTTCATGTAACCTTGCCCACATGTTAGTTTGTATTCAATGCATTTTTATCTTGTGCTCCAGCTGTTAAATCTAGCGAATGTTTAACTGTTAGCTATATTTAGTTAACTTTAAAGTTTGTCTTATTAAATGTTTCGGTGTGAAAAATAAAGAAATAATCTTATATTATCGTTACAGCCATTAGCGCCATCCTACAATCCTACACTCAATCCTGCTTATGTTGGTGACTTTATTTCACTCAAGGTCACTTTAAATCACTCATACTGTAAACTGTAAAGCTGCTACGTTGGTCATTTTAAACCACTTCAAGGGCACTTTAAATCGCAATTCTAAATTGTAAAGTTAGACTGAAATTAACCTTTTTTTTTTTCCTCAAAGTGTATATTTACTCCCCTTACCATAGTCTTGTATTGTATATTTATTCCTACTCTTCCTATATTAATTGTTGTTCTTTTTGCACTGAATGGAACTGGAGCCTCGTCGTCTCATCTCTATATATATCTGTACTGTATATAGCAGAGATGACAAAGTTTTGCTCTATAAACGTGTCTCATGCAGTCTGGTTCGCCTCGAGGTCAATCCAAAATTCTCCATTGATTAGTGCATTGGGGCTTTTGATGCAGTAACTGAAATTAGCACGGTTAACAGTGAAAACCTTGTGAATGTTTGATATGTATCCATATCAAACATGTAGTCCTAATCCGCCCTGGGTCCAGCATCTGTAGTTTGGTTTCACCAGGTTGAGGAGGTTTGGCCTTTTTCTCGTCTTTTTGATCTGTAAACAGGAGCCTGACAGACAAGTGATGGAAAAAGGTTTGAAAACCAACTCTGTCTCATGCATGTTTTATTGGTGTCTATTGACATACAGTAAACATTTTTTGTGTCTTAGATAAAAGAGTTCAATCCAAAGTTAAAGCAAGATTCAAGTCCATAAATTATGAAATAACTGATGGTGAAATAAAATTTACTAGAACTCAGAGTAGAACTTATAAAGCCATAATGTGGTGTGAAGATAAATAAATAAATAAATGAATTTCCATAACCAAGATCTATGCCAGGGGTGTCCAAAACCTGGCCTCAAGGGCCGGTGTCCTGCAGGTTTTAGATGTATCTTTGATCCAGCACAGCTGATTTAAATGGCTAAATGACCTTCTCAATATTTCTTGAAGTTCTCCAGAGGCCTGGTAATGAAACAATCATTTGAATCAGGTGTGTTGACCCAGGGTGAGATCTAAAACCTGCAGGTCATTGACCCTTGAGGCCTGGAGTGTGCTGCCAGCTAAATCTAAGCTTTATCACTCTGACTTTCCCACACTGTCAAACTCTTTGTGTTATCACTGGTCTAGTTCCGCCTTCACCAGACCAATCAGCAGTCATGCCCCATACTTTAAATCTAACCTTGCATCTGCCATTGGCCTTTACAGACGCCTTTGTGCAACCCACCCCCTCCTCTTCTTTGCCCCTCTTCACTCAGGCTCCATATAAACCACCTTCGTCTCCACCATCAGGATCTAGGCTCTTAGTGGTCCTACTCTAATCCCTTTCACAGCTGGGGTCCGTTCTGCGCAGACAGACCATCGGAGGCTAACTGCCAAACACGTCTATCTAAATTATGTTCATCGATAATTCTGTCTTTGACAGAAAAAGGAACAGAAATCCTATAAAGTGAGATTAAATGTGTCACATTGTCAGTAGTTGGTGCCTGCACATATTTCCTCTTCCTGTTGAAGAAAGGTGTAAATCCTCCTTCACTAAGACTTTCTGTGAATCAAGTCAAATGTAGTCATGATGATCTCTAAGGTTGCAGTACAGCAAACCTGGAACAAATGCAAACTGGATTATGGTGAACCATAAACTCACATTTTAAGATTATAGTCTTTTTACAGCTGTTATTTTAAAAGATTTATTGCAGAAAATTCAGTATTTTTTACTCCTTTACATTTGTTTGACAGCTTTAGTTATTTTCCAAATCAAATTTAACCCAACATCCTGACTCATCCTAGCAGTCCAGTTAAAAGCCCACATCGACTCATCTACTGTTGAAAACATGTCTCACTTTATTCAAAAACTCTTTATGCTGTTTCATTCAGTTGAATAACAGAAAACATAAACTACAGCTCATACAACTGCTCTCATAGCTTACTCAGGTTTAAAAAAATGACAAATTTCAACTTAATGAGAGAAAGAGTTAAAAAAAAGTTTTTAAAAAAAACACTACAAGAAAAACCTCACTGGTGTTAACAAAATTGAACAAAACATTGTGATGCACAGCACACATACTCAGTCCCACCGTCAATAATTTCTTCAGTTCAGTCGATACTTTTCCAGATACAAAATCTGCGCGTTAGATTTCCACAGTTGAAATTTTGTGCCCAGCATTAGTTTTGAAGTGTTTGATGATGTAAAGATGGTGGCAGCATACGGGTGTGCCACAAGGCCACATTAATGTCGAGTGCAACACTTTCATCTTTTCATTACTGCCGATTAGCTGCTAAATGTGTTTATTGCTGGAATTTCAGCTAACAGAGCACAAATGAGAAAAAAAATATTACTTTACTTGTAGGATGTTTATCCCCCAAGATCATAAGGAATTGTATGTAATTTCACAAAACAAATAGATTAACACCTGAATTGATGTGAGTAACAGAGTTCAGGTATTTGCAGTGTTTCCTTTCACTGCATGCTTCTCTGTGACGTCTCTGACTGAAGTGGGGGCAATCAATAGTTTCTTTATGTGCTGATGGAGACTCAGCTGGTGTTTCAAATGTCCTCTTTAGTCTCTTTTCAAACTCCAGGTCTGAAAGGTGAAGCCAATACAAAGTGCCCTAAACCTATTTTTTTTTCTCGCTGGCCACCAGGGGGCGATAGTTATGGTTGCAAAAAAGATTTAAGCTCCTGTGTAAATATCTGTCTGCCTGGACCTCTTTAAATTGTTTCCTGGTGAGTTCGTGGGCTGATTTGCTCATTTCAGGTCATAGTGAATGAAACATTAGGCCAGGTTTGTGGACTTTAAGCTCAGACAAATGGGAGGTTGCATCATAAATTCTGTGCCAAGTGATGTGGATCCATCTGTTTTGGGACTTCTGTGGAAATAGAGGAGCAGCTGAAAGCGTCTATTAGTTCAACTTTTTACATTTTAGAACTAAACGGTTTTAGCTTATTTTGAGCCACCTATCACACTGGCTATGCCAAACTTGCTTTGTGCACTCCTGTGGTAAGCAAACACCGGTATCGTGTGTGTGTGTGTGTGTGTATAAGTTAATGGATATTTTTCACTGGAAAAACAACTTAATGAAGAAAAATAATCACATCAGTGAAACAAAAAGGTAAAAATATGGAAGGAAACATTTTTCTTATTGGAAATTAATTCCAAATGAAGTATAAACAAAAACAGGTTTTTCTCTGGCAAAAAATGCGGATTATTCGACCACTGGAAGTCATCCCCAACAAAGTCCCTTGTTTTTGAGAAAACCAACAGCAGCCGGCTGTTAATGGAAATAACCCACCCCCGCCCCCCAGGTTTGTTTAAATGTTTGTGGAATCTGTTAACATGAGCAAAAGTGTAAAGTGAAGACAAAACCAGTCGACTACAAGCACAGCTGGTGCTTTTCGGGGAAGAGATGTCCCAGATTTTCACCGGCACACTCTCTCTCTCTGTTGCTCTTTACATATGTGACAGAAGTCATAACTACAATACAAATTGTTAACATGGGGGCTTTAGCAAACTAGAAGTTACCTACACTTGATTCCAGTTGTATCTGTACAGACCCTTAAAAAGCTTTAATGTTGAGACTATACAATGCTACATAACACACCGGGATGCCATTCGTACTGTAAGGTGTAGCAATGACTTACACCTTAGGACATATGCAGAAGAGAGAATCCCACAGTTAAATTTGAACTGTTTCAGCTGAGTTTGGGTTGTGGTCCAGCATAAAAGCTGTGCTAAATCAATCCATCTGCTCTGAAGGCACCTTGGAAAATAAGGTTCAACAGCAGTCCTCACTTTCTGACGTGATTTAAATAATGATCTTCAAAGTTTGAAGAGCTTTGAATCATTAACATGACTTCAAGGCAGGTTAGTTGGAAGAATTGTGGTCCAATAACTTCATTTTGGATCCAAGGTTTTCCATCGAGGGAACACCTTTCTAGGATTCGTGACTATTCTCCAGCTGATAATGTCATGACCTGTGGAATATACTTCCATTATCCATGTGTCACCAGAGAAAAGGATGAGTATAACTTGATGGTATAAGGAATAGGGTAAAAACTGATCAAAGAAAAGGTATCTTACTTTAATGCTGAGGGTGGAGTCTAGAATTTTACGTCCAGTCCTTTACTGTTGGTTCTCACGCAAGCATTTCTAAAAAAAAAAAAAAAAAGCCAAGTGTTTATGAACTCTCAACAGTGCAAGGCTACAAAAACACAAACCATCAGCTCATCTCACTTGCAGAAGTAGAAATAAAAGTAAAGATGGCTAATATGTGATTGCTATTGTGAAATATTAAAAATAATAAAAGTCAAGTGACAGAGGGGAGCAAGGTAGAAAGTTGATGATGCATGGAGCAAGGATATTGAAAGTGGATGAGTAAATACCTGGAGTCAAACATTCAAAGCATCAAACAATGAACAAGAGAGGTGCAGAAGAGAGCGTGGGGAGGGTGAAGCAAGTGGAGATGAGTGTTAGGGCTCATTTGTAAAATAAGGAAGCAGCAACAGTGCAAGGGAAGGTTTACAAGATGTTAGTACGGTCTGCTATGATGCGTCTTTTACAGATGGTGATACTAACAAAAAGGCAAGAGGATGGACAGGATTAAAAATGAGTGCGAAACAGAAAAAAAAATTAGAGAGGCAGGGCTGAGATGGTTTGCACATGTGCAGAAGATGGAAAGTGAATATACTGGCCAAAGCATGCTGAAGATGGAGCTGCCAGGAAAGGAGTAACACCTCATGGATGAAGGTCGTAAAGGAGGACAGTGGGCTGGTGTGACAAACGAGGATGGTAAAGAAAGGGTGAAATGGAGGCAGATGACTAACATAAAATCTTATCCTGAGTAAAACACAGAATGAAGGCATGTGAAGTAATAAAAGTTCAGATGTATTAATATGTATGCAGCGTAGTTATGTAGTGGCAGATCATTTGTGATTTATAGTGGAGACAAAGTTTAAAAAATTAGTTTGTAAATGTCCGTCGGGTGTAGTGGTTAACAAATTCACTTGCAAGCAAACAGTCTGTGGGTCAGTTCCAGCCTTGGGGTAACTGCTGAATCAAACATGCTGAGCTACTTGCTGAGGCACCGGAAGCAGTTTCTTTAATTCAAATGTGAATATCTCTGCTAAATGTTTGTGTGTAAACAACGCATAGGCCAAAAAAAACAAAAACAAAAAACCCAAAACGTTTTACTTTTTTCATTTCATACAGTTTGGATGTCAGGTTGTACAAGAGTAGTGCACATGTTGGGCCAGCTGTTTTCCCCTGCTTCTAGTTTTTAATATTACAGTAAGAGAGAGGACTTAAAGGGAGGATGCAGATGCAGGCCAAATAAGGTGATTTGAGGTAGACGCAGAGAGAGAACAAACAGATGATCTAACAATAGGTGAGGGAAGACGAGATTTTATACACAAACGGGGCACATTGAAGCCACGTGAAAGCATCGAGACCAGGGAGACAATCAAAGAGGAGTACAGTCAGATCGAAGATAATCAGGAAACTCTCAGAGACAGGGCTTTAAGCATAGGAGCTGCTGTTCACTGCGTATTTATGGGTAATCAAGCTTACTTGACGATTTTATTCTCCAAGTTAAAGTTTATCAGGTCTAGGTTGTGATTCATCAGCAGATAAAGAATCGTGGAAAACTCCACCGCATCCATCTGCAGGTCATCACTGAAAGACAGGGTCAGTCTGTCAGTTCGGTTTAAAGAGACAAATGCAGTGTAGCTGCGGGCCAAGTAAAGAAGAAGTGTGCCTCATTTCTTTAAAATTATAATTTCTTTTACGGCAGCCATGCGTCAATGTGTAAACAGTTGGAGATTTGAAAGATGAACATAGTGAGTGAAAAAGTGCTAGAAAATGTAAATCTGAATTCATATGCCAAACACACTTCAACAATTATTGTATTTATTCACATGACTGGTTGGTATTTACACAAAAATCCATTATAAGATAAATAAGGATTATAATGAGCTGTGAATCATGCAAAGCTACCCTGATACCATCTCTGAATAAAGACACCCTTAAGGAAGAACACATGAAACAATAAGCTTGTTACAGTAACATTAAGTTGTTACATGGGTCTCACTTTGTAGGTTTGTGGTGATGGCTGAAGTCTGCACTGATGAGGCGCTCTGTGAAACTAGAGCAGCTGGTCGCTCCAGTCTCTGGTATGTGCTGATCTGTGATGCTTCCAAGATGGCATCCATCACAGGGCCTCATTTTGGCACGACCAGAAAACCTGAACGAGATCAGCGAGACGAACAAAGGTGCATTCAGTAAAACTGTGGCTCGCTGGCAGAGGGCCAGGCGGATGATTTAAATCAGTAACAATACCACAGCGTGGAAACACGTCATTACAAGCATATGATCTGCACTGATGTTAATCACATAATATCATTGGGTCACTGCCTCCTCAGTATGTGGATACGTGCAAAATGTCCCATTACCTGTTCATATAAACAATTTCAACTTAAAAAAAAAAAGTTGTCTTTTGTTTATCTATTTCCTGTAGCGCTTAATATTTTATAATAATATTTGAATATTTAATACTAATAATATTTTATATTTTAATGATAATAACATTTTAATAACAACAATTTAAAAAAAATCTTTTATCACTTGCTTACACAGTTTGTAAGTCTGTGTGCTTAAACTGAACTGGTATTGAGTCACATCTCTATAAATAGTAACACAAAGACTTCACTACTCTCAATCTTACAATAACAGACTCAGGAGGGTTTTTTTTTTTCTTTACCTTCCTGGATGATGTCATGCAAACATGCCACACAAGAACACATTAACCCGGTGCAGAGGATTTAACAATTAAGAGGCTGGTTTCCTTTTTTAACATTTGTACAGTGAACCTGAGCGCCAACGTTTTAAGCGATGCATTCATGCAGAAACTTCTAAGAACAGCTTCTCGTTTACTCTGGTTTGTCAGCGTACCAATCTCAACATCAGTCACCACAAGGTGCTTTATATTGTAAGGTGGACCCTACAATACATACAAAGAAAAACCCAACCATCATATGACCCCCCCTGATTGTTAAATCAGATATGTACACATTTGTGTAAATACTGTTTGAAGTTATGCCAACAGTTTCCTCTTGTGTTTGAGAAGTCTTCTAACATTGGTTCAATTTAATAATGAGATGAATTATGAACTAAAATGTGTCAAAAACACAAACCACTGGTTTAGTTATTAACAAAACCCAGCTCTCAGACTGAATCCCTCTATACATGCTAGCATTTCTGTTACACCACTATTGCTCAAATGGTCTTAGATCATCAGGTCGGTCCTTCTGGTTGTTTAAGGGTTAAATATAAAAGCTTAAGTCATCAACAACATCCTTTAAATTGCTTCTAAACAAAAACCCCAAACGTTTTGTAGACTTGCAATGCCACTTATTTATTGCCCTTATATTTTTATTACGGTAATAATATTAATCACTTTACATTATCAACAAAGATGCTTACACTGTAACACTTGAAGCACATTTTATTGATTCTTATCTACAGGCCAGTACTTTGCATGCCTGCACTTTGTTGTACTGTGTTTGGTTACTCAAGCAAACGGAGCTCTTTCTCCACCATGGCTCACGTAACACATAAAAAGCACTAAACAAATAAACACGCCTAGCTTCTTTTCCTTTGTCATTCAGACTATGTGAATTCTCTGTGTTTGTCCAGCTTTAGTAATCGTATCCTCTACTGTTTGAAATTTTACACTCTAAAGCACTTTTTACATATATTCCACAATGCACATAAAAGGCTTAAGGAAACATTTGCAGGTGTTCCAGTGTCCATCGTTCTGTGTGGGAAAGAAAATGTCAGCCCTGACTGACTTTAGTTTTGAAGAAATAAACAATAGTAACTTAAAACATGCACGATGGGTCAACTTGGTGGGGAATATTTTCTAAACTGCTGTAATGTTGCATTTAGTCCACTCCAGGCTGAGTTAAATATAAAAACAGAGCTGATCAAGCAGAAGTCTGTGCTGTGAAGCCAGATGTGGGGATTAGAAAGATAAGAAGATACTGTCACCATGTAGTGCACCGATCCGAATATTGGGCGCACTTTGTTCTACTAGTAATCTGAGATCTCATTCCGACACACATGACACGCATAAAAAATGATGAACAATTCAACATATTCTGTCTACTTTTTAAAAGGTGTATTTTATAACGTATTATATTACCAACTAGGTATTGGTTATGTATGACCTCTGGTTAACAAGCATTTTTTATGAGGGTATTTTGAACGTGTGGATCTTGCTCACTGTGATTTCGGAAAAGCATACGGGGTGACTATTTTCACATGAATGTTTTTCAAGCAAAAGAAAACTGAAAAAAAGAAAGCACAACACACACCACACACACACCTTTGAAATCCAATCCAAGCCTGACAGCTGTTCACAACTTTGACTGATCTTCTTTACTATTTCCTAACACTTAAAGACCAAACAACTACTTGTTTCATAAGGAAGAATAACCAAATTAAAGCTCGAGTCTGGAGATTTTTCATGCAGAGATATAGTGGGGTTCTGTCTGGAGAGGTCAGCCCCTGCTTTTGATTTGAGTAGTCTCTTGTGCAGCCTGAGCAAGTCCAAGCTACACCTACACAGGTCCCAACTAATCAATGTTTGGAAAATAGCATCACTGTTCTTAAAGATCTTAGTGCAAAGATAAGACCTGAATTTTTGAAAACAAGCCTGAAGTTTTTATCTTTAACTGATAAAAACTAACAAGAAAAACAGATTTTTAAGATGAGCTTTATTTCTCACATCTTTTCCTGTTTGTTGTCCACTTAATATACAGAAACAGGGAACCTGCTGCCAACACTGTCTCTGTATTGTGAATGGACTCATAGCCCTCAGCTGGTGTATTGAGCTGGAATCCAAAGTCATGTAACACATGAGGATAAGTTACAGTCAGTGAGGCGTGATAAGGAAAACAAACCCTGGGTTGTTAAAAGTGCTTTGTTGTACGGGGCTCTGCATCAGGTCATTTCTCACACAATGCAGTGTGCCAGTTTTATACGTGTTTTTCTCTCTATTGCTTTTCCTTGACACACATGATATTCACATACTACAACATTGTAGATTTGTACTGACAGATTATCCAAAAATACCTGACACTTACTCGTGAGGTCAGAGCTTCTCGGCCCCAGGTGTGTTTTGCTGATAATCCAGCCTCAGTAAAACACGCAATAAAAACAACAACAAAACCTGCTTCTTTCTGCCTGATTGTGATCTGGATTGCAGCAAGTCAACTTACCCTCTGGTGTTGTCTGGACTTCAGCTTCTCCTCCGACATCACAAAGCGAAATCAGAAATGTCTTCAGTGTTTCACTGCCATCAGCTCTGCTCAACTAAGAAAAAACTGGTTTGTTGACACTTGAGATTCTTGATCATTTGCCAGATTATCTTTGCCTCAACGCCACTCCCACAGTGCTTGTACAGAAGGTAGAATTTCAATGTGGAAATCAGCCAAGTCTCCTCCTCTGATAGGCTTCAGTCTGTGCCAATGAAAACAGGTATGCTGAGGTTAAGAGAACTTTCCATTTGTTACATTAGAGAGAGCGAAAAATGATCTGTCACACGCCTAACAAAACTTTGTACAATTGTTTTTCTTTTTTTACAAAATGAAAAGTAGAATTTCTAGGTTTTGGAGACCCAAACCTTTTCTTTGAAACAACAGATGTGAAAATACAACCATAAATCTGTGCCAAAATACATGGAACAAAAACACAATACACTCATGCACAATAAATCAATACATTAAATAAACATAAGAAATTCCAGTGGACAGTTTCTTTCTGGGAAATGAAAAAGAACAAGTAAGGAAACTTTCAAGAATATCAAACATCTTATTCATCGTCACAGGAAGTGCTGACGTTTCATCTGCTTAGTGCGTCCGAGTCTGGACTCAACACACCGTTTTACCCACAGCCTGTACAAAAGATTGCATTGTGTTTTCAATCACACAAATACAGGATTCTTCAAAACCCACAAATATTTGTCCAAACAGGCAACAAATATTTCAAGAAGGAGTTAGATAACCAACAGCTGGAATCCAATTAGAATAATGCATTTCCTTCAAGCCCTTGCCTCTGCATCTGGTCTGCCGACTTAAAAGTGACTTCAGGAGAATCTGTAGTCCACAGGAAAATCCCAGTTCGTACATAGTTTGGGTCTTTGCCGAAATGTTGTACATAAAGAAACAGTGCAAAACATTACTATAGATTGTTGTTTAACCCAAATGGTGATCTCACAGCCAAAGTGGCCGAGGAAAGCTCTGAGTTAGTGCTCTCACAGCTTCACTCAAAGGCTGCACATTAAATTCAGCTTCCAACTGTCTCTTATGATTTCACGGCACATACATTATATTTTTTCTTCTTTAAAACAGGGAAGTTAAAAAGGGGCACATTGAACCAGGCTGAATAACAACAACACACATTCATAAAGAATCTAATATAGGATCGCATCATACTATATGACTGTTGTGAGGTGGCGACAAGGCAAAGCAAACGTAGCCGATGCTTTACCTGATGGGTACAATGTTGCTGTTGAGGTGTTTCTGCTGCTCCTGCTGCTGATAGTGCTGGAAGGCAGGGCTGTGTTGATCTGAGACTGTAGACATTAAAAAGTCCATAGGAGAGATGGTAGCTGATTAAACAAGTGTCATGAGATAATAACAAAATGCAAAGATTGGTGACAGCGCTTGGAACCATAAGG